CCCATGGCCCACTATTGGTCGCCCGCTGGTCACAGCAAGCCGCGGCAGCCGGCGCAGGAAAGCCATGGCGCGCTGATGGCCATGCACTTAACAGTTCGTGGAAAACCATTGGGCGCCGCGCATTTGTTGAGTGTCTGGCCGGAGAACTACATTTCAAATCGGGTTTTCCCTTAGGGTTTTGGCGTTCACACCGACGACAAACGCGCGGGAACCAAAGTGCGCAGCGCGCGCGCGATTTTGCGCTGCGCACTATGGTTTCCGCTTGTATGGTCATCTGTTGCGACGAGTATTAAATTGCGCATCATTTGGTTTTCGCGTTCACATCGTTCACAAATTTATGGGACGAAACCGTTGTGCGCACCGAAACGTCGCGCGCGCGACCTTGCGCTGCGCGCTGGCTTTCCCACGCAATTATCAACTGCATGGCCATCTGTTGGGGCCAGAGAAATATTGTTTACATGATGCATTCCCGATTTGGACTTCGAGTTCGCATGCGTGGGAAGCCATAGTGCGCAGCGCAAGGTCGCGCGCGCGCGACCTTGCGCTGCGCACTGTGGTTTTCCACGCATTTGCTAATCGTGTGGCCATCTCCTGGATTCAGAGAACTAAATTTTGCTTAGGGTTTCCCCTATTGATTTTCACGCTGACATCGTTGACACATGCGTAGAAAACCACAGTGCGCAGCGCAAGGGCGCGCGCGCGCGACCTTGAGCTGCGCAATATGGTTCCCCGCTCATTGTCCAACGCGCGCGCGCGACTTTGCGGCGCGCGCTGCGGTTTCCAACGCATTTGCCCATTGTACGGCGAGTCCTTGGGGCCAGAGAATTCAGTTTCACATTTGGTTTCCCCGCGCGCGCGCGTGGTGAGTTTTGGATTGCCCCCCATAAGCAGATCGTTTTGTAAAGCCAAAGACTGAATTTATTTTTACCTGTGAAGTAGTAAGGGGGCCGACGGAGGCGCGCAGTTCTGCATAGCATTGTGGGCAATACAGAACTCCCTACGCGCGCGCGCGGTGAATTCTGCAGCGTCCACATACAGAACTACGCGCCCCCCTCGGCCTCCTTACAGCTTCAAAGAAAAGTCAAATTCAATGTTTGGATTTACAGGGCGATCTTCTTATTGTGGACAATACAGAACTTACCACGCGCGCGCGCCGCGGCGCGGGCGCGTGTAGGAAGTTCTGGATTGCCCACAATAAGAAGATCGCCTTGTAAATCCAAAAACTGAATTGAACTTTTCTGTGAAGCTTTCTGGAGGCCGACGGAGGCGCGCACAGTGAGCGCCTTGAGTAAGGAACACTTACTTTTCAAAAGGGGCTCGGACGTTCCTTAGGTTTGCATGCGTTCCGCTGCCTTTTTGGCGGCGAGCCCCCCCGGTGTTCCTTGCGATTTTGGGCGCGCGGGTTCGTTTTGTCGATCGGGGCGGACGGTCTAAGGAACGGGGCTCCACGGGCGGGCTCGGTTCTTTGCGCTTGCTCGACGTAATGCGACGGCGGTCGCGTACAAGCCCTGCGCCTCTCCGGGGCCTTCCCGTTCTTTGCGGGGCGCGCGCTGGAGCTTTCGCCCGTTCCGCGCGCCAGGGCGCGGGGCATTGAGGTCCAGTTCCTCGCAGGGCCCCCCCCCGTTTCTTCGGCCACGCGGTTCGGAGCTCACTGGCTCGACATAATTGAACGGTGGCTGCGTTATGGTCCAGCTCCGTTCTCAGGCCCACCCGTTCCTTGCGGGGCGCGCGCTGGAGCTGTCGCCCCTGCATGTATCCGCATGCCAAGGTATGGGGCATTGAGGTCCAGTTCCTCGCAAGAGCCCCCCCCGTTCCTTCGGCCACGCGGTTCGGAGCTCACTGGCTCGACATAATTGAACGGTGGCTGCGTTATGGTCCAGCTCCAATCTCGGGCCCCCCCGTTGTCGCCCCTGCATGTATCCGCATGCCGAGGTGGGGGCATTAGTTCCTTATGTCACACCTTAGGTCAAGACCTTCACTGTGCGCCTGCGTACTCATTTTGTGCTTTGCATCCGTGGGTTTTCATATTTCTGAAACACGTGGCCGCCCAAGGCCTTTGCACTTGGTCACCCCTGGGGGCGCGAAGATTATTGCGCCTCGCGCGTCGCGGCCCGGGCAGGAGAGCCGCCCTTGTCCAGGGCGGCGGCGCAGGGGCGTGAAGTTCACCGCGCGTCGCGCATCGCGGGGCGCGATAATCCTCGCCTATCTACAATTTGTACACGTAAGGCTCCGCGTGCGCCGTTTGGTTGGTTAAGTCCAGTGTGTTGGTTGGCTGGTGCGCCGGCTGGTAGGCAGGTTGGCTGGTTGAAGAGCCGTTTAAGGAGGCTGACGGAGGCTGGGTCACCCGCGCGCGCGCGTGGGGAGTTCTGCATTGTCTACAATATAAAAATCGACATGTTATTCCCGAAACTAAATCTGATTTTTTCTGGAGCCCTTTAAGGAGGCCGACGGAGGCCGGGTCACCGGCGCTTGCGCGCGCTGGAGAATTCTGCACTGTCCAGAATATAGAAGTCGACATGTTATTCCCGAAACTAAATCTGAATTTGTCTGGAGCCTTTTCAGGAGGCCGACGGAGGCTGGGTCACCGGCGCTCGTGCGCGCGGGATAGTTCTGCATTGTCCAGCATATACATGTCGACATGTAAAGTGCCGCGTTTGAACATGTTTTTTGTTTTGTTCTGTTCTGGAGCCCTTTGAGGAGGGCGACGGAGGCCGGGTCACCCGCGCGCGCGTGGGGAGTTCTGCATTGTCTACAATATAAAAATCTACATGTTATTCCCGCAACTAAATCTGATTTTTTCTGGAGCCCCTGAAGGAGGCCGACGGAGGCCGGGTCACCGGCGTTCGCGCGCGCTGGAGAGTTCTGCATTGTCCAGAATTTAAAAGTCAACATGTTATTCCCAAAACTAAATCTAAATTTTTCTGGAGCCCTTTAAGGAGGCCGACGGAGGCCGGGTCACCGGCGCTTGCGCGCGCGGGATAATTCAGCATTTTCCAGAATATAGAAGTCGACATATAAGTGCCGCAACTGAAAATGAATTTGTCTGGGGCCTTTTGAGGAGGCCGACGGAGGCCGGGTCACGGCCGTTCTTCGGCCAATGCTCCTCCCGCTTGCGCGGCGGTTAAGTTCGCGCTTTTCCTGGCCGCGCGCTGCTTTGTATAATCAGTACGTTTCTCATGTCCCGCACGTTAAGCTCCAAGCCCAACATGCGCGCGGATATTGCGGGGAAGCCGTCTGGCGTTCCAGAAAGCAACATCGCTTGCGGACCCGCGCGTTTGAGACGATGAAACCTTGCACTACGGGAAAGGGTGGGCGGTGGCGGAAGCTCCAGCGGCATGGGGGCCCTTTCGCGGCGCGGAAGTGCGCGTCGGCATTCGACAATTCTCCTTGTGGCACCCGTGGGGCGCGGAGCCCGTTCGGGTGCGTTTCCGGGCTGGCTGCTGGGCAATATGCCGCGATCCGTTTTCTTTGTTTCCATTTACAGATGATAATGTATATATATATATAGAAAGAGAGAGAGAGAGAGAGAGAGAGAGAGAGAGAAAGATGTTTGCGCTGCCGTCAATTATGTTAGCCGCGCCCTGGTCTAGCTTGTACCCGTCGCGACTCAAAAGTTTGGCTCGCTACGTGCACGTGCGTGTGTGTGTGCGTGTGTGTGTGTGTGTGTGTGTGTGTGTGTGCGTGCGTGTGCGCGTGCGTGTTTGCTTCGATTTTGGCGCGCCCGCGCGCGCTTTGGTTACGCAGCGCCGTCTTCAAAGTTGGACGGAAACAAATGGTATTGCGACGTTCTCGAGTGATGTCGCGACAGGTGTGCGCATCGCCGAGCAGCGGACGGTTTTTCCCGTCGCTCGTAGCGTTTGCGCTTGCGCGGTGGACGCGCTCGCACGTTGAAGCTTGCGCCCCCTCAAGGCGCGCGCTGCCCTAGAGAAGCGGCTGCTTTCTCACTCGCGTGCGCCGCGCGCCAAATCCAACATGTGCGCTGTTTGTTTCGGAAACCTTTTGGGCGTTGTACCAATGAGCATCGCCTGGGGTTCCCCGCGTTTGAATCGATGACACATCGCCCCATGGCAAAACATGCCTGGCAAAAATCAATGCCTCGTGGAATTCTGAATATTGCAAAGCAGCCGATGGCAAAACAGGCCGTGCAAAAATCAGTGCTCAGCGGAATTTTGAAAATTTCAAGGCGCTTCGTCTGTCAAATTCGTTTTTTTGTGTTTTCATTCCGCGGGCCAAGAAGTTAACAGCCATGGCCTGCTAATGGTCGCTGTAGGAAACCCCCTCACTAACGAATGTTCCTTCGAGGGTTGTCGGTGGAGCTCCCTGTGGGGCCACGAGGCGCGTGAGGGGTGCGCCGAAATCCTCGACATGCGGAGGGCTGGGGCAGGGATGGGAGGAGGAAGGAGGGGGGGGGAGGAGGAGGAGGCGAGGGGAGGAGGAGGAGGAGGAGGAGGACGCAACGAGGACCCAGCACCACAGGATGGCTGGGAAACATATCTTTTCCAACCGCTCTCATCCATCCTGCTACCGAACTCGGCTCGCTCTCTGCCTTGGCTTTGTTCTCCTCCTCCTCCTCCTTCTCCTCCTGCTTCTCCTCCTCCTCCTCATCATCATCAGCATCATCATCCCCCTCCTCCATCCCCTCCTCCTCCATCCCCTCCTCCTGTCCTCCTCCTCCTCCTCCTCCTCCTCCTCCTCCTCCTCCTCGCTCCTCCTCCTCCTCCTCCTCCTCCTCCTCCTCCTCCTCCCCCTCCTCTTCCTCCTCCTCCTCCCCCTCCTCTTCCTCCTTTTTCCCCTCTTCTTCGTCCTCCTCCTCGTTCTCCTCCTCTTCCTCCTCGTCCTCCTCCTCCTTCTCCTTCTCCCATTCCCCGTGCCACCGCTCTCCTCCCACCCCACCCCTTCTCTCCCTCCTCCTCCTCCTCCTCCTGTCCCCCCCCTCCTCCCCCTTCCCCTCCACGCCCGCCTCTTCCGATGGGGGGGGAGGACGGGGGGAGCTCGCCGAGGTGCAACGCCAGCTGGCCCAGTGCCGCGATGGGTTCGGGGTCGGCTCCGAGGCGCCGAGAGGTTTCGAGGCCAGCGCGCCGTGCTGACGACGACGACGACCACGACGACGAGGAAGACGACGAGGAAGACGACGAGGAAGACGATGACGACGACAAGGACGACGACAAGGACGACGACGACGACGACGACGACGACGACGACGACGACGCACGACGACGACGACGACGACGACGACGACGACGACGACGACGACGACGACGACGACGACGACGACGACGACGGCAACGACGACGGCGACGACGACGACGATGATGACGACAACGACGACAAGGAAAAGGACGAGGACGAGAACGGGGATGACGACGAAGGTGGTGGCGGTGACGGCGACGGCGAGGACGAGAACTAGAGCAAGGACGACGATACGGCGAGGACGATTAGGCAGCCCTGGGATACAAACTAATTGTTCCAAAGTTTCCCTGAGGGCGTTCTTGAGCGCCAGAGCTTTCCAGAATACCCTGAGAGCGTTCCGGAACGCTTTGAAATGGCTGCGACGCCCAGTGCAGTGGAAACTCATGCCAAGAAACACCCTGCTTGCCTCCAGGGCGCTTTGGGTGTCTTGGATTCCGATGGTTTTGAAGTGGAAAGCGTGACGCTCCCACACCAAAAGTCAACGGACGTCCCGGGGTTTCGGGGTTGGGGTTTTTGCGGGAGGTTTCTTGGGATCGTGTAGGAGGAGGAGGAGAAGGAGGAGGAGGAGGAGGAGGAGGAGGAGGCTATATCCATGGGGTCGCACCTCGGTGCCCAGACCCCCGGGTGTGCCCACGAGCCTGCTCCTCGCCCGCGGGCATGGCCCGTCGGGCGCCCCCCCCTCCCCGGCAGGGGGGCCCGAGCCCCGCCCCCGTCCTTTGCTTTCCCCCTCTCCCTCCTCCTCCTCCTCCTCCTCCTCCTCCTCTCCTCTCCTCCTCCTCCTCCTCCTCCTCCTCCTCCTCCTCCTACTCCTCCTCCTCTCCTGTTCCTCCTCCTCCTCCTCCTTCCTCCTCCACCTCCTCCTCTTTCTCCTCCTCCTCTTCCTCCTCCTCCTCATCATCATCCCCCTTCTCCCCCTCCACCCTTCCCCCTCCTCCTGCTCGTCATCCTTCTCTTCCTCCTCCTCCCCCTCCCCCCCGCATCCAGCTGCGTAGTCGCGCGGAGGGATCTGTGACGCGGAGGTCGGGCGAGCGAGGCGAGCGAGCCAGCGCTAGCGCGGCAGAGGGAATCAATCGGTGTCCTCTCCCCCGCCCCCCCCCCGAACTCTCAAAGTTGGCACGCGCGGGGGAGGCTGCGGTCGAAGTGCAACTCGTCCAACCTAGCGCCAGCATTGATCACTGGGGGGGGCATTGACGCATGAGGAAGATCATGTAACATGGAGGTCGGGTGAGTCGGGTGATATCGGCCTCCTAGATGGGTTCGAAGTAGATGGGGTCGGAGGATCGCGCCCAGTCTGCCTTGCCCCCCCCATCCCGCCGCGCCCTCGTAAGGGGGGATTTGTAACGTGGAGGTCGGGTGAGCAGGTGAGCGAGCCAGCACGCAGTAGTAGTATGTGTTGTTTCCTCTCTCTCTCTCTCTCTATCTCTCCCTCCTCTTCCAGGCCTCGTAGATGGGGCCCGAGTAGATGGGGTCGGAGGACCGCGCCGCATCGGCGATGCATCGGCGATGCGGCTCGATGTGGGGCCCACTTGTCTCCACGCCGACGTCGCCGATGCATCGCCGACGTCGCCGGTGCATCGCCGATGATCGCCGAGTGCCCCCCCCCTTCCCGCTGCGCCCTCGTGATGGGGGTATACGTGACGTGGAGGTCCGGTGAGTCAGGTAACCTAGGCCTCCTATCTGGGGTCAGAGCAGATGGGGTCGGAGGATCGCGCCCCCTCTCCCCCCCATCCCGCTGCGCCCTCGCGAGGAGGGATCTGGAACGGGGAGGTCGGGTGAATCAGGTGAGCGAGCCAGCACGTGGTATTCTTATGTGTTGTTTCCTCTCTCTCTATCCCTCCTTTTCTCCAGGCCTCCTGGATGGGGTCCGAGCAGATGGGGTCGGAGGATCGCGCCGCATCGGCGATGCATCGGCGATGCGGCTCGATGTGGGGCCACTTTGTCTCCACGCCGACGTCGGCGATGCATCGCCGACGTCCGACGTCGACATTGCATCGCCGATGGTTCGCCGAGTACCCCCCCCCCTTCCCGCTGCGCCCTCGTGAGGAGGGATATCCAACGTGGAAGTTGGGTGAGTCAGGTGAGCGAGCCGGCATGCAGTACAGTCGACCCGCATAGTAAGGATGGGCAACCTTCCCAAGGGTACCCTTGCATCCTTGCCCCTTCGGCCCATCCTTAACGACTCTCGCTGGCCAACCTCGTTCGAAAAACGCTAACATGGGCCTCCAAGGCCCTTGCATCCTTTCCGCGCATCCTTATGAGACGGGTTGACTGTAGTTGTTTGTGTTGTTTCCTCTCTCTCTCTCTTTCCTCTTCTGTCTCTGATGCTGCCGCTGCCCGCGCTGCACAGTGTCTGTTCTAGACAGTCGGACCTCCCCCGTCGCTTAGGATTGCCACCACCACCACCTCGAGTGGCCTGTGATCGAGTAGGAGATCGACTACGGCATTGATGTACCCCAGAAGTGATTCTTCCCCCTGCCCCTCCTGGCAAGAGCTCGAGCCCCACCCGCTCCCTCCCCCCTTCTCCGCACTCCCTGCAGAGAGAATCCCTCGTCCTGCCCGAGAACGCTCGGTGAGACGCGGCGTGAGCTGCGACGGCGCTGGCGTGCTGCCACGTCCAAGGCCACGTTGGCGTTGCGAGCGGACGTTGGGACCTTGGAGCTGGCCGGAGATCTAAGTTGGCCCAGCACTTGTTCCGGCGAGCAGGAGAGGTGGGAGGATCGAGGCTCTGGGTTCGGGAAGGTTTTGTTCCCAACCGTCCTGTGGTGTTGGGTCTTGGTTTTGTTGAGAAAGCGCCCCGCGTTCACTCCTCCCGCTGCCCCCTCCCTCCTCCTCTCATCATCGTCATCATCATCCTCATCATCATCATCATCATCATCATCATCATCATCATCATCATCATCATCATCATCATCATCATCATTCCGTAGCCATTTTGGCTCAAGTTCGAAACGCTGCCCCGGCGCTTCGAGCTTGGACGCTGCCGAGGGGTTGGCCCAAGCGTCCCGAGGTTAGGTCTCACATTTTTCTCCGGTCGTGCGCCAAAGCACGCGGCATTCAGGTCCTGTTCAGATCCGCCTCCTCGGCCGCGATGGGGAAATTGCCCACTGGAGAGAGGCAGGCCCGTCGTGCTGACCGTCGCTCACTCATTCGCTCCTCATCGCCCTCTTCTAACTCGGCCTCTCGCACTCGCCGCTCTGCCAGCCGCAGCCCAGGACGCCAGGACGACCGTGAGGATGGTGTCATCTCTCGTCAGCTGCAGGATGATTCTGGCACCCTCGCCTCCATGCATCAGATGATGTTACAGAACACGCAGGACATGGTCGACCTTCGAGCTAGTGTTCAAGGCAGCCTTTCGCGCTGTTCACAACTCTCATATCAATTTGTACTTCTAGGACAACACGCCCGACGTAAACATGATGAACTACAGAATCAGGTGACCTTCGCTCTGAAGGCCCAGGATGAAAGCATCGAACAGCTTCGCGTCACCTTCGCAGACGCCCCCATGAGCACAGCCAACGAGCACCCGCTGATGGAGGAGAAGTGTCGCAATCTGGAATCGCAGATCGACCAGCTGCAGCAGGCACAGAATGCTGCCGAGGCACGCTATTGTTCAGACCATTCGATTGCGACGCCTGCCTCCTCGCCGCGCTCTTCGAGGCGCACTGCTGGAGGCCAGTCGCAGGAACCACATCAGCACGATGCGTGCAAACTAATATTGCTCGGGTTTCCTCGCCCCTTGCTATTGGATGATTTTATGTCAATCGGCGTTGCATATAAGGCCGCTTTCGCCCCGTTGCAAGCCCAGTCCTCCATCGTAGTGCGAGCATTTGATTCATCGAAGACAGCGTCTCTCCTCTTAGGGAATGCGACTGCTGCAAGCTCTTTTCTGGACAAGTTTACGCGTGCAGGTGGTCAGTGGACCACGCCCGATCCCCTCCACCCCAACTCCCCTCTTTCGCTTCGCCTTCGGAGGGACCTCGGCCGCGTCAGAGCTAAACTCCCCGAAGCTTTGGGGCCGAAGGGCCTAGAAGTCGGCAGTTTTGGACTGGGGGGGTTCAGTGCACATCTTTCGCCAGCCCCACGACCCGGCTCCTGCAGTCAAGGTCAGAATTTCAGCTGATAATGATACCCTATGTGAGATCGAGCGAGACACATTTGTGGAATTCGGATCCCACATCTCATTGGGTCTGTGCAGGCAGCTGCGGCGACTCGTATCCGCCGTCCCTTTCAGCGCTGAAGCGGGCTGCGCTGGCCACCAGGTGCTACCAGCCCCTGCTTCCTGTCTTCTGTTTGTTCCCCCGTCTCTCTCTCTCTCTCTCTCTCTCTTTCTGCACCTGGAACTCAGAGGCATTGTTTGCATCAGTTCGAAATTCATCGTGGAAGGCTCTTGCCAGATAACGGTTATTCTTACAGCTCTGTCAAACACATCATACCACAGCAGCACAAGAAACACATGGGCACTGGGGTGACGTGGGAGAACTCGAACGCGAGTTGGAGCGACACCAGTTTGCTGCCTCGTTCTTCGAGGACTCGAATGCCGACGGTGGGGCCTGAACTGCTCTCTCTTCCGACTTGGCTAACCTCTTCGACTCCGTTGTTCATTCGCCGTTGATGGTCGGGAGGATCCTCGAGAGTGAATGTCAGGGGCGTTATGGGAACCTCGTCCTCTGCAACCTCCACCTGCCGAACACCTCCGACTCCTTCTCACTATCCTCCGACGTTTTTCGTTGCCTTCAGCGCGACTTTCAGCAGCACTTGCCTGGAGGCTCCGCAGCCAAGGCGCACGTGATTCTCCTGGGTGATTGGAATGTTGTTTTAGAGGGGGAAGGGAGGCTGGCTGGCGATGGCAGTGGGTGGAGCGGTGGGGATGATCGTCGCT